AGTTTCCTAGGGCTGCTATGACAAAATACCACAGTCTGGTTGGCATAAGCAGCAGAAATTTATTTTCTTACATTTCTGGAGGTTGAAAGTCCAAGATCAAGGTGTTGGCAGGTTTAGTTTCTTCTGAGGCCTCTCTCTTTGGCTTACAGATGGCAAACTTCTCTCTTCTCTTCTGTGTGTGTGTGCATCCCTAGTGTCTCTTTGTGTGTTCAAATTCCCTCTTCTTATAGGACATCAGTCATATTGGATTAGGGTCCACCCTAATGGCCTCATTTTAACTTAATCACCTCCATAAAAGTCCTAGCTCCAAATATAGCCACATTCTGAGATACTAGGCATTAGGTCTGCAACATATGAATTCGGAAGGACACAATTCAGCCATAACAGTATAAATATTGAATTTAGAATTACTGTTCCACAGTAGGCACCCAAAATATAATAGCTTTTATTACTGTCAAGAGTATTATTAAGCTCACATAATTTGATTTTCATATCAAATATGTTAGATGCAAATTATTATCATATATATATACATATATGTATGTATATATATATATATATATATGTATATATATATATATGGAAACTGAAGTGCAGAGAAGGTAAAATATTGGCCCAATATTGCATTATGTGTATCAATTTTAAAGCTGGGGGTGCACTTCATTTTTTGTGATCCCAAATTGTTTCCTTTTTACCACATTGTGCTGCCACCAAGTAGTTGGACAATGGTCAGTGAATTCATTGTCGTTAAATTCCTGACTATCGTGACTCAAGACATTTATACTGCATCTATTCCAACGAAGCTATTTACCCAAGTGATTCAGTATCTTAACAATCAGAGTGTTCTCTAATTAGAGGCAAATTCTATTTTTCTTTCTTAGAATTCTGTGCTTTTATCCCAAGGTGAAAACTTTGAAATCTAGAACAAGGTAACTATAAGACTTTTCCATTTCTGGGAGATTCTTTGTCTTTTGACTTTTATATCATATTACCTGTTGTCCAACAAATAGAAATACACTTATCTTCCTATTACCCCATTCACCAAAGTACATACGCCTGTCCACACCTCCATATCTCCCATCTTATTTAATGAAGAAAGTCTCCTAGCTCCTACCTAAGGCCAGATGTCTCATCACTATCTCTCCTTCTAGAGCAGCGGTTCTCAACCTTCCTAATGCCGCGACCCCTTAATCCAGTTCCTCATGTTGTAGTGACCCCCAACCATAAAATTATTTTCGTTGCTACGCTATAACTGTAATTTTGCTACTGTTATGAATCGTAATGTAAATATCTTTTTGTTTTCCGATGGTCTTAGGTGACTCCTGTGACAGGGTCGTTCGACCCCCAAAGGGGTCACGACCCACAGGTTGAGAACCGCTGTCTAGAGCATTTTACTCTGTGATCATTTCCCTTCTCTCTGTTCCATCAATTTCTCTCTCTTTAGTGCACCACTCCATCAGCATACAGACATGCTCTAGCATCTCATATCTTAAAAGAAAACAACACCTTTGGTTGTCCTCTAGTCACTGATATTTTTATACTGCTCTAGTAAAATACAAAAGGTAGATATAGTCACCACCTCCAATTTCTCATGCCTCATTTACTCCTCAACCCACTCCAGTCATGCTTTCTCCACAGAAATCCATATGTTCACATTTCTTACAGTATTTGGTCTCTTAGCAGCATTCAACCCTGTTGTCCACTCTATCCTTCATGAACACTTCCTTCTCGTGGTTTCTAGGTCAGCATATTCAATTTATGCCTGCCTTGATTATATCACTGGCTACTTCATCTCAGCCTCATTGTTTGATCCTTGCCTGACAATCTCAAGGACCCTAAACTTTGAGTACCTCTCAGATCCTAGGCTCCTAAGGGACCCTGCCCTCAGGTTCTAGGTTCCTAAGACATCTGAGAAAAATACCAACATTTTTGCACTTAATCCTGGGTTATATTTTAAAAAAAAAAGGAAAAGCTCTAAGTCTTAGATGCTGCCCAATATACCATGTGCCTTTCTAGTTTTATTTACCCCAATGCTTGAATGGTATTTATTTTCTTACTTGATTTGTTTCCTACTTGAAAACAGCTGTCAGAATTACTTGTAGAAGGTGTATGTGTTTGTATTTTAGATATTATTTATTGAATACAATTTGCATGCATTCTCTTACATAAACATTACAAGTACCCTATGAGAAAGTGGTTATTGTCCCTTAATAGACACAGACTTGAAGCATAGAGAGTTCCAGATACTTATGCAAGCTTATTTAGTCAATGGCACAGTCAGGATTCCACCCCTGAGGGTCTTAATAAATGTACAATGTTATAGTTAACAGTTCTAAAGCAAATAGGAATTTGGGGTCTAGATATGGCAATTTTGGTTGGTTTTTTTTTTTTTGCATTTGCATTTGTAGAGTGCCTTTTTCTGTAAGCAACAGGGAACTGGAATAAATAATGGAATTTATCATACAATTAAAGAAACTCCAGAGTTATGTCACAGTAAGATCAGTAGCTCAAGAAAGTCATCAACAATCCAAGCTCCTTTCAGCCCTCTGCTTTGCTGTCCTCTGTGTTGGCTTCATCTAAAGCAGCGGTTCTCAACCTGTGGGTCAGGACCCCTTTTGGGGGTCGAACGACCCTTTCACAGGGGTCATCTAAGAGCATCGGAAAACAAAAGATATTTACATTATGATTCATAACAGTAGCAAAATTACAGTTATAGAGTAGCAACGAAAATAATTTTATGGTTGGGGGTCACCACAACATGAGGAACTGTATTAAGGGGTCACGGCATCAGGAAGGTTGAAAACCACTGACTAAAGGCTGTTTCTCCTTGTAATTGCAAGATAGCTGACGTAGTTATAAAAGCACACCAAAGTACAATATCATCTGGTAATAATAAAGGAGATATTTTTGATTGATGAAGTTTATCAGGAAGGAAAGCTCTCAGAAGCCCTCCAGTAGACATTTTCTCACATCTCTCTGACAAAACTGGCTACATACTCACCTGTAAAGTACCTACCTTGGCAGCAAAGGACCCATCTCTAATGGCTTTGACTTAACCAGGATTTACCTGATTCATGGGAAGGAGAGAGCATTGGAGACCAGAAGAAAATCAGGGCTTGGACATCATGAAAGGAAGATGATTATTGCATAGACAACCAAAAAGGACTGTTTTATCTCTCAAGGGGTATATCAGCCGAAAGATCTGTGACTGCACATTTGTGTGTGTTTATGTTCTATTTTGAAGCCATTTTCCCTTTTAAAACCTCACTTTGTTAAGAACTTTTCAGCTGTTTTTCATATTACTTTTTTTTTCCAAAAGTCTAATTAGCAACTTTGTTGGCAAGAACCTTAAATAAAACATGCTTTCTGTGGTACTCAGGGATGCTTAATTATCTATCATTGGGTCTGTGACTGTTCTGTGTAGAATTTCCAATGTTTCAAAATGTACTGATATGCTAAGGGATTGAACACATTCCCAAATTTTCCAGCGGCTCATGCAATTTTAAAGTTTTCTCTTTAGAAACAAGTTGTCTGGGCTATATAATCTCTGATCATCACTAACGGTTTGAACATCTTCCAATGGCTTTCCTTTGGGAATGGCATCTGTGACTCAGGGACCCTGTGTTGGTCTCACCTCATTCTTATTTTTAGAATATTCACATTTTCTAGTATTTTCCCCATGCTCTTTTCTTTGGCTTTAAAGCAAACTATATTAGCAAGCTCACCATTCTACATATCTAGTAATGCTGTAGATCAAACATCCAGATCAAACATCACTACATAATCTCTCTCTCACTCAATAACATGGAAACTGACAGTGATTCTATTGCCCTGATTCTTTATTTTGCTGTAGGACAGACAGGCACTCTCACATAGAAAGGATTTTTTACATGATGGATTCCAATCTCTTCTCAACCGCTCTAGATGCCCGAGGTACCCATGGGATATAATGAATGGCATCATCACTTCACTCCTCCGGTAAAGGCTGGACAAGAGTTTGTTGACAAGAGCCAACATTGCCTGTCACAATCATACAACCTCTTTCAAATCCTCCTCACATCTACTCGCCAATCCTCGAGAATTTAATAAAGTGCAAAACAACAATACTTTTCATCTTTGCAGAGTTGACAATTAACTAATTAGCCCATTAACTCATTGAGCCAGATTTGTCCCAGTAAGTTAAGGGGTTTGGGAGGTATATTAATCCTTTAAGGCCACTGGGGCCACATTTGCAGCTAATGGACCCATCTCCCTAACTTATACCAGGAAAGGACTGGAGTATTGTTAGGAAATAGAAGCCATTAATCCTCACTGTACCCAGAGGGGAAGGTGAGAATGACTTTGCACAAATTGATAAGAAAATGTGCTTTGTTTTGTTTTTCTCTTTTAAGACCAAAAAGAGACTCTGAATCGAAGCCAAGATTGGAACTCAGTATTGTCTGGCCAACAGCCTGTATTCAAATTTGAAATCTTGCCAGAATTTGTTTATTTGTTTATATTTTTAGACCCAATACCATGAGTGGGTAGGCAAGAAGTTTTGTGTTGGGCCAAGGATAATTCTAGCATCTGTAAACTTTGACAGCAAGAAAGGAACATTGTGACTCTGTTTCTATTCTATCATCTGCTCAGAGGCACTTATTACTCATGTGGAGTATACCTCTAGATGGTGTGTGTGTGTGTGTGTGTGTGTGTGTGTGTGTGTGTGTGTGTGTTGGGTGGGGGAGAATGTACCAAAAAAATACATTTCTGACATGATTCCTGTTCTGTAGAACCAGACTGTGGGGGTGGAGTGGGCCCTGCCCTCAGTAGCCACAGCTGCAGCTTATCTGAAGGAAATGTATTTAGGACCCATCTCTATTTCTGACTTTCGAAGGAGGCAGGACGTCCCTCTTGGGATATCCTGGGAATCTGGGCAGGGCTCAAAGGGTACTGTCTAAAACGAGGCCACAGAAGCCTGAAGGCTGAGCTGGGGAGCAGTTGTTTGTGTCAGCATTCTGTGTGGGGTTTCCAGTTCTCCTGTGGCAAGGCACATGATTTGGAATCAAGTTACCAAATCCAAGTGGAGAAAATGTGAGTGTGAAGCCAGAGGTGGGGGTGGTAGTGATGGGGGTGGAAAGATGAGCAGCTAAAGAGGTTGAAACAAAGAAAAGCCAAGATCTATGGAGAAATCGAGGGCAGGTGGCAGCCCTGAACGTCTATTATGTGGCTTTCCGGCCATGTGACATAAAGGGGGGATGCGGGAGATGTCTTGAATGTTTAAGGGTACAACCTGCAGCTTACAAATTTATGCTTATTTTACATACAGAGCCATACATCTGTGTCTGACTGCTCCCTCTTCATAACCCCACAGATTAATCACAGCTACTTTGGGGAATAAAGAGAAATTGACTTTTTCTTTCTTTAAAAATAATATAAATATCCCTGCTTATATCCACTCACTATGAGATATTTAGGTTACCTTGGCAGTATACAACACTCCAGGAATCTTTTCTCCCTTTCCAGCTATTGTGATCTGTTCTTTCAGGGTCCTTCCTTCCATCAATACAGTTTCTATGTCAAATAAGAAGGAACACTTTCATTTCAACAATAAGTAGCATGGAATGTGGGAAAAAAACCACATCAAACTCTTTGATGGGAGGGCGGAGAAATTCGGAGAAAGAGAAGGCTTCCATGGCCTTCTAGAGAAAAAAGGCCTAGGGCTAAAATTTAGAACACAGAGATTTTTCCTGCTTTGCTCCTTGGAGTGTAAGTCATTTCACCCCTCTGTGATCCATCTTTGCCCTTTGAAAACTAATGAATGTATGGATGTATGTATTAATAACTCACTTTGTTCCACAGAGGTCGTAAGCCAGCATCTCAAAGTATAAACAAAATGTACTTAGAAATATGTAAATGAGACAATTGGTTCAAGGGAAAAGAAAGAGTATGAAAAATTAAGGTGACGTTAAGATCATTTTGTTCATAAAGTAATCTGAGTTGGTAGAGGTGGTCAGGAATGTGCCTTGGTGTTTTCCAATCATAAACGCCAAGAGGGTAATATGATGGTGATGGTGACGATGACAATGATGATGGTTACAAAGAGTCAATACTTATTAACGCTTATCTTATGCCAAGCGCTGTGCTCAGTAAGCATTTTATTGGTATTATTTCATTTCATCTTGTTCCCAACCCTGCTAGAGATACAATTATTGTCCTCATATTTCAGGTAAGGAAACCAAGATCTGATATGATAAAAATAAACATTTTCCAAAAGAAGTAGAGTATCAAATTAGATATTGCTCCACCGGTCACCAATAAGAGATCACAATGCCATGTAGGGACAAATACCCTCAAATATCCTTATGCGAATCTGAGCTAAATAGCATTAGAGAATCTATAAAGCTGTTACAATGTTTCCTTTATATCCAAGTGAAGTTCCTCATAGATCTTCTATAAGAAACTATACAATATTGTCCCAGGTATTCAGGATTCTAATGCTTTGGCTTAACCCAAGGAAATTTTATACATATATATATATATATATATATATATATATATATATATATATATATAAATTAAAGTTTATTGGGGTGACAATTTTTAGCAAAGTTACATGGATTTAAGGTGTACAATTTTGTAATACATCATCTATATATCACATTGTATGTTCACCACCCAGAGTCAATTCTCCTTCCATCACCGTATATTTGACCCCCTTTTCCCTTGTCTACCACCCTCCTCCCCCTTACCCTCAGGTAACCACTAAACTATTGTCTGTGTCTATGAGTTTTGTTTTTTCATTTGTTTTTCTTGTTTTTTTGTTGTTTTCAGTTTTCTATCCCACATATCAGTGAAATCGTACGGTTCTCTAGCAAGGATATATTTTAGTTGATCTACAGGTATGAGTAGTTTTAGCCTCAGAGCAATGCTCCACAGTTTCTATTTCAGAGCTTTTATGAAGTATTTAAGCTCCTGACAAATACCTGGTGTTGCAGGTGTCTGTGTTGGTTGTTAAATCCAGCCCATCGTTAGAGGTGGGATTGATCCACTTTATAAATATGGTGGAGACTAACCAGACATGTCAGTATAAATTCACCCACAGAATGTCCATGGGCAGAACCAAACATTCCTCATTGAACAGTTTTGAAATGTCTCTAAGCTCCAGAATAATGAGTAATCAAAATTCAATTAACTTATATATTCATGTGGTCATAGAAATTTTATTGAGATATGCTAAGTAGTAGAGGCATAATGGAAAGAAAATAGATCCAGTCCCTCTCGTCACTGAGTATATGCACTATTAATAGATAATGCCGGTTCGATTCACGGCCCGAGCTGAGCTGCTGCTGAGCTGCCAACAGGTGGCAGGATGGCTCAGCTAAAAAAAAAACAAAAAGTATATAATGATAATTAAATAAGCAGTTAAAATAAAGCATAGTAGAACACACAGAAACAGGTACACAAGACAAGTGCCATGTGAACTGAAGGCAGAGATTAGAGTGATGTGCTTACAGGATCAAGAAACACCAAAGATTGCCAGCAAATCACCAGAAGCTAGGAGGGAGGCCTGGGATCCTTCCCTAGTACCTTCAGCGGGAGTGTGACACCTTAATCTTAGACTCCTGGCCTCCAGAATTTTGACACAGTAAGTGTCTATTGTTTAAGACTGTCTGTTTATGGTACCCTGTTATGGGAACCATAGGAAGCTAATACACACCCCAGCCCACCACCCCATCCTCAAGGCAGAAACTTGGGAGTCATCCCAAACCACCTCTCCCTCTTCTCTCAGCCCCCATATCCAGGACCACACCCTACAGCATCCCTAGCTCTCTTATATCATACCTTTGCTCATAGCCTTTGCCTCCTTCCAAGTGCATTTGGCGAAGGCCTCGCTCAGCTTAGGCCTAGCTCAGCTCACGTATGCAGATCAGTCAAGATTCAATCAGGAAAGCAAAACCACTAGGCATACGAGCATTAAGGAATTTATTGTAGGAATAAGAACTTTCACAGTTGTGGGAAGAGCTTCTTGGAAAGTAAAAATCTGAAAAGGAAATATTTTTAAATCAGAGAAAAATCACTGATCAGCTCTGGTATAGATGCATGAGTTGAAACTTAGGAGATCTTGAAGGTAGGCTGGCCCGTGCAGCTAACATAGTGGGGCCATGAGGTGGGGGCTGAGAAGCCTATGGAGGGTTTTTAGCTACTCGTGGCTTATTGGTGCTGATTTCTTAGCACAGGGTCTGGTGTGGGTCGGGCGGCACTGTCAGTCAGCAGGACCAGCTGTCAGGACTGAGATGTGGGTGCAGACTGGGTAAGAGGGAGCCCAGAGGAGAACCCACTCACACCTCTGCACATGACCTGTAGAGTGTCAGGGCTGCTGCCACCCTTCCACCTCCCAAATCTCACATAACTTCACTTTTGGGAATTCTAACCTGGGGCAGTACAGAGAGAGGGATTCTGAGCAACTTCGCTCCCAAATTGATAATAATACACTGTAACTCAAGCTGTAACAAATGACTACAAATTTAGCAGGTTAAAATGGCGGGAAGGTGTTCTCCTCCAGACCTGGAGGCCAGAGGTCTGAAATCAGTATGTCAGCAGGGCTGCGCTCCCTCCAGAGACTCCAGGAAGATCTGTCCCTTGCCTCTTCTAGCTTCTGGTGGCTGCTGGCATTCCACGGCTTGTGGCCACATCATTGCACCATAATTCTCTGTTTCCTTTTTGTCTCTCCTATGAAAATTTGAGCTCTTCAAGTGTGTGGACCTGTCTTTCTCTGCCCTGACAACTCAGTTTGGCCCATTAGACATGAAATCAGTGTTTGGGGGATTATCCCTGGTCATGGGCTATATCAGTTTGACAGTCTACTCCCAGATGCACTGGTTAGAAAATGCTTTCTAAAATTGTTTCCAGGTAGCTATTTTATAAATCAGAAATTTCCACATAGGATGATCTAAAACTTTCATGACCTCAGCTTTGCATGGGTCCTAATAGGGGCTTGGATTTAACTGGAGTTGGATTTACCTAAGCAGTCTCATCCATTTATCATCCCACAGAGCTCTACAAGTAATGATCATCTTTTACATGTGAAATTAGATGAAAGAAGTTGTGAAGCAGTGTTCTAACTAAGGAAAACTTGGTCCGATCTTTTATACATAAACTCTTTATCTTCTCTGAGTTCCAATATAGATTGAAATGTACTATTATATAGTAAAACGAATACAAGTTTAGGCTCTGCCTCCACTAAGTTTGTGTTGTTGTTCTGGTCAGTAATCTCCCTAAGACGTGGTTTTCCCATTATGAAACGAAAATAGCAGTCATACGTACCCTAAGGGATTGTTTATGTCACAGCACTTTCTACATTCTCATGTCTGGTATAAATGCTAATTGTAGGGTTTTGATTTGTGGTCAGAAATGCCCATCCAGCTCATGATGTCTTATTAACCCCATGTAACTATATCGGAAATTTGCCATTTGGTTCACTTACTACTCTTCTTCTTTGGGGGATCCCCAAGATGGGAATAAGCAGAGCCCCATCTTGCACAATTGGGCGTCTATGACACAGACACATGAGAAGGCTCGATCAGGCTGGTACCAGCTTGTCAATTTTTGAGGAAGAGACTCACAGTTCCAAGAAGGGTGGGAGATGGTCAGAGTCATGGCAGGATATAGAGTCCCACAGCCATGGAGCCAGGGGCCAGAGGGAAGGGCAAAAGGTCGCTTCCGCGGCAGATTTTATGCCATGGACTGCAGCTGGGCCTTACCTCCCGTAGATCGTGCTTTTCCTTTATGAATCTGTGCTTTAGCCAGTCCATCGTTTCTCCAAGCGCTCCTTTACCTCCTCGGCCCGATATCCTTTTCTGCTTAAGTTGGCTTCTCTTGATTGCCGTCAAGAACCCAGCTAGAATAATAACTTAAAAGTTTTAAAAATATCAATTCTACCCTAAATCAAAACAATATCCTTTTAATCACTTTGATAAAAGAAATTTTTATTTTGTATAAGAATATTATACTGCATTGGTCTGCCAGACTTTCCGAAGCTTCAATCAGTTTCTTCATCTGTAAAATAAGGATAATTTCTTTTAGGGCCATTT